AATACATATATCAGTAATAATCTATCGTGCTTTAATCGTAGGCTTTTTGCTTTCAGGAACTACACAAAGTCGATCCGAAGTAAGAGGATGGAATAAATGCCACGTCCGACTATAAAATCTCTTGTGCTTCGACGATTTTGCGATGAACGGCGCCAAAAGAGTTATCGCTCCATGACCGGTAAGTTCTTATTTGAAATTCCACTTGAATGTAATCAGGTACCGTCTCTTCGATGTGATTACCGAGCGATTTAGCGGTACGTTCTGTACGTGCAAAGGATTAACTATGTAACTCGCTTTTAACGGGCATTATCGTTAATTCGATCTCATGACGAACTCATGATCAATAAGATCGCGGCATTACGAGGAAGAAACCGGCCAGAGAATGGTCTTATACCCGTCCTGAATTAATTTTCCAACCCAGCGCATTTTGAATACAGACATCTATAAATTACGAGGGCAGACTCGAGATAAACTTTTAACTCGAGATAAAAATCTCAAGGCCATCACAAGGTCACCGAATCGGCGTGAAACTTGCATATATTCTTTCTTTTAACCACGTTACACTTGACGAAAAAAAAAGTTGCATTTCAATCTCGCTTGACGAGAAAGGAAGAGCCGTGATCACGGCATGATCCAATACGAAGAGCGTTCTTGAACGACACTCGACTTTCGTGAGGAAGGGTAGAAAGAGCGAGGGGGAGGAAATTCCGCGCTTGAACGATGAAGGAGGAGAAGGAAGAGGTTGTACTACGAAGGATGGAGAGAAACGTTCATTATTCTATTCCGGCAGAGCGAGGCCAGCAATCTGGTCTTATAAAATAAACCACTCTAGCTTGTCCGCAGTCGGCGCGACGCGTCAAATAAATCGTAGCTTCTTACAAGTTTACTTGCAATTTTAATCATATCTCCTACTTCGATCGTCCTTTCTCTTTATCGTCCTCGATATTCGACATCTTTCCGAATCTCTCGTCTCTTCTCTTCGTTTCATATTCAGGAAATAAATCCTCTACGGATACTTTGATACACAAAGCGAAGCGAGCAAGAGAGAATCAAAAGGACGAAGGACTGAGATGAGAGACACACAATGCATCGCAATGTACATATGTTGCACGGTTCTTACCGTTCGAGGACGTTTGCATTGAGAAAACGCCAGTCAGAGCTTCGACTTTTGCTCGGATAACGCTTGCTTAGTGTCCATCAATGTAGAATAATATTTGTCTCGATTTAACTTTCAATCTCTTTCGAGATTAAAAAAATAAAAAAAGTGAAGAATAAATTAAATCGAAATTATAATTAAAATTTATATTGGTAAAATGAGTACAATTCGCGCTTTTTTTAGCCTCACAGAAATATTTAAGCAGATTGTAAGGGCATAAAATACATATATATTTAAGCTTTAAACAAACTACATACATGTGAAAGTTGTGTTCATGACGTTCTATTTTTATTGAGCATTTTTATATTATAGATTATTTTATTTGATATTAGTTTTATTGTTAGAAATAAAAATTTGTTTAATAATCACGGAAATCTAAATTTTTTAATATATATTTTAAGTACTAAAAATGACTTGTGCAAAGTTTTGAAATTCATCAATAGTTTATAACAAATAAATATTTTGTTTATTTACGGAACAATTAATGTCTGCAATCTCAATGTAACTTTATATAAATATTTTTGAAGTCATAAAGTACTTTTATAAAAAAATTGAAATTTTTATTATTATTTTATAATACATTTTCATTTATTTCTATTAGAATACAAAAAATATTTTAATAAACAAAAATTACTTTTTATTGAAATAACTTTTGATCCAGATGGTCAATTGTCTCTAATTTTTTTGTATTACTTTTAATAATGTAATTTAGAACAATTTGTAAAATCTTTTCAAGTAATTCTATTGCATTTGCCTTACAATCTCCTTAAGGACGTATGTGAAATCGATTATTTGAAACTGATTGAAACGAACTGTCGGAATCTTGTCTCAGAAAGAGACGTTAATCAGCAATTTCACAAGAGGCAGCCTGGACATCACCGGATGCAAGAAAGACTCATGCGAGCCACGCGAGCGTGGACAATACGGGAGGCAAAGAAACGCGCGTGTAATTCATCTGGAGCGTGTATATTATCGTTCGCGCGGACCTGCTCGCTCGCGGCGTTTTGCTCGTGTAAACACCGGAAGCGAACACTGTTACTCGCTTTATGATTCGCTCAAGACAATCTTCTCGCGGCACTTCTTCAGTCTATCCAATCTATACACTATCTAACTGCCGGTTTATAATTTAAGAAAAAGCTGGGCACGATGAAGCCAATAATTATTTTTGTGTCGAGGGGAGTCAAGGGGAGGAGAGGGAATCTCGGGATAGTTGAAATTCAAGCGCGCTTCATTCCATTACGGCGTTAACTTAGCCGGAGATTAAGTGCTCCAAAACACCATTACTTTACGAAACGCTTGGCGTCGTAGAGCCAAAAAACGAAGCGCGGCAAATGATCGCGGAGTCGCAAGACCGATTTACTCCCGACGATAATCTGATTCATCGTCGGGGGATCTCGACTTCTCGAGACGGACGCGCGCGTTCTGGAGCTCTCTCTTTGTCGCGCGCGTGCGCGTTCCCTTTCTCGATCTGGAATTTGGATTAAAGAAGACTCGGTCGAGAGCCGTCGAGACATGCGAGGGAAGAGATTAAGTAAAGCCGGAATAAATTACCTCCCCCTCTTTCTCCCGCCTGCTAAATAAGCTGCCTGCTAAATAAGCTGGCCGAGGGACGCATTCGGGGGTTAAACTTCACCATGTCTTGCACAGATAGCTGGAGTGCAACGAATTAATAACTTTGTTCTTTAGGGACCAGTTTCGCAACTTATGGTTGGCTCTTAATCGAGGTTTAACTTATTTCTCATCTCTTTCTAATTCTAGCGTTAGAAATTAAGGGTTAACCATGAATTGTGAAACTGGGCCTAAGTAAGGTAAAGTCGATTTTTGTTGAAAATTTTTGTTATACTTTTAAATACAATCTATAGCTGTACCTTCGAAACGCGTTGAGAGTCACGAAGAGAAGTTGCCGGCCGTATCGTAGAATCTCTCTGCGCTTCAAATTAATTAGTCGATCGATTAACCGATCACCTTGCCGTGTTTCTTAATCATTACCTGCGCGCTCTCTCATTATCATGGTGGCACGGAGAACGACTTTACTAGTAATAAAACGGAAAGGGATAGCAATTAAATCGTCGTTCTACCTTCAAGGTTAAGGTTCACAGAGTTGTTTAATTACTTGTCGGCGATTTTTATCTTAACGATTTTATTATGTCGCGTTAGCTTATCGCGTATGTATCTAACATGTACTTAACATATTCGTTATTTAGTATTGCTGGGAAAGATGATGCTCATCCAGGAAATAAAATATATTCGCTGTATAGTATTATTATCGGAGAAAGTATGTTGCGCCAGGATAGAAATTTTTTATAGAAGATTCGCGTTCGTGCGACCGCGATCGAACGCATCGGGAAATAAATGGCACGAGTCTGCTTTAATCGACCAACGAGGCAATACCAATTAAAATTGCATTCCCGAACGATGTCTTCTCGCTCGTATGCACGCACGCGAGCAAAACCTCGTAGCTTATCGATATATCGTGCGCGTCATCGCCCCTGGTTGCTTCGATGACGCGTATACATTTTCGCGCATTTCCGCAATGTAACTACCAGTCTGCACGTTTCATATCTGCGCTTCATCATTAAATCGATTATATTATTGTGATTATTATTATTCTTAGCTGCGTCAATTATTTAATTTCTAGAAAATTAATATCCTATTTTTTCACTAGAAGTAATGAATTAGTAACCATTTTCATTTTTTAAATTAATGTAATAAGGTAAAAAGTAAAAAACGAACAAATATGATTGTCATAAAAATATTACACTTTATTCAAAATTAATGAGATGTAAAAAAAAACGGGTGCGTTTCGAATCTTCCTCACAATCAGGAATATTCCGAGTGAACTTGAAAATTAGCCATGTAGTACATAAATAGACTGATAAACATAATAGAATATATTATATAAATATAGGCAAAAGGTTATCAAGAGGTTATCTTGGAAGTTAGACATGACATAATAGATAATTCAAACTATAAAACTTATATTGAAAAATTCTTTGATAGCCAAAGTAGTAATATCTATAATATAGATAAAACTACTTAAATTCGATAACTAGTTAGTTCGATTTAAGTTTTTATATTTTATAAATTATTATATTTTATGTAAAATTAGCTTAGCTTCTAATATGGCCTTTTGATAACCTTTTTGTCCATTGTTTTGTTATGTTTCTTATCGGTTTATTAATGTATGCGGTTAATTTGCATGTTCACTGTGTTTCACTCGGAGCATTGTCGAGAGAGATTCTGTGAGTTCAAAACACGTTCATTTTTCATTAATATAGAATAAAATACAATATTTTTATCACGTATTCATATTTACTCGCCATTTATATTATATTATTATATCATTATTACGTATTACAAACTTTTCACATACACTTTTAGATCAATATTATATTTCTTATATATAAAAGATAAGATCGTAAAACATTTTGACTTTTTAATAATTATATTCTTTATACTGACGAAATATTTATATTTGAGAGATTCTTTATTATTTATTTCCATACTAATTTATTTATTTGATCTTTTTAACGAATAAGAAACATTGGTACTTTTAGTGTTAATTTTACTCCGATCTGCTGAGCAGAGAATGATTCATATTCTTTCTAAGAACGGCGATTATTAGAAAACTACTAAAAAATTTTCCGACTAAACAGATATTCAGTGGGACATTTTAGTGAATCGCGAATCTTAATGTAATAAATTTTCTACGATAAATTGTCACTTGACATGAGATACCTGCTCAACTCGGCTTTGCGAATTCTGACGACGTGGTCCGCCCACGTTCGTCTCGCGTCTGCATCTTTATCTATAAGTATATATACGAAACAGGCTGCGTACTCACTATATTACGGCTCTCGCGATCTCCTTTCCGAGAAAACTCCTTCGACAGCGTCTCGAAAACTCCCCTCGGCCTCTTCACGCTCCCAGCTTCTGATCTCTACTTCTGGCGCTTCTGGCTTTTCTCAATCCGCTCTCAGGAACCCTGGTTCTCTCTTTCTCACCCTATCGAGCATCGGCGTTGATCGCGAGCGACCAACGATACCGACGTTGCACCGTCGTGATGTCGACCGAGGAAGGGTTGAAGACAAGACAGGGCGGAGGGATGACGAAGAAGTGCGTGCGTGGAGTCACTGCCGAGAGGAGGAGGTTCGCGTGTCCGCTGCGGAACGAACACGAGCTGATTCACACTATACACGCATTCCCGCTGTTATTTCAGGCCGACGCATCTCACGCATCCGACAGCGGCGCGTCGTCGTCGTTAAAGATCCTCGTTCGCTATTCTTCTCCACGCGCGTTCCATCCTTCGGTTCTCGTCTTATCCGACTGTCCTACCGTTCCGCGACTCTCTTAATCCCGTCACCATACACAAAAGAGTTCGTCCATTCACTGACACCGTGACTGTCACCCTCGAAAGACTCTTTGGTCTTTTGTCACTGCGAATGTCCACCGGGCACTCGCTTTCGCGAATTTTCACGGATGATCTCGAGAGTATTGACCGATACCGGTCAAAATCGTTCGATCGATCGATCTTGCTGTCTTGACTGACGGTTCCCTGTTTCTCTCTCTTTCTGTCTCTCAATCTTGAGACTACTCGAGACTGCGACGTCGCGACACTGACGATACGCGCTACTACTCGTGGCAGAGCACTACTTCTCCGAGAGGAGGATGTGCACGAGGAAAGCTCGGGGCGAAGTGCCAGAAGAGCCGTCGCTTGAAATAACCGCTCGTCCACGCTCGTTCCCTCCGCAACCCCTCGTGGGTTAGTCTTTCCCCACTACGACGGATACCGCCGAGTACCGGGATCGCCGGCAAAACTCTGAACCCCACTACTACCATTCTGACGGCACCTTCCCTCTCGCTCTCTTTCTAACACCGCGCGCGTCTCCTCTCTTTCTCTCTCCTCCTCTCTCCTCTCCTCTCTCTCCTCTCCTATCCTCCCGCCGCGTCGCTTCTCGTCGTTCCATCGCGTTGCGTTTGCGTCGCGTTGTCGCATCATGCGTGCGCTACTCATACGCACACGTGCGCGCGCGATGCAGTTTTCGCGCCATTTCTAGATGCGCCGCGCGAAGGCCAGTTAGAACCTCTAATATGGGATCTCTCCGTTTTTCGTTACGTTTGTTCAGGTACTTTTTCAAAGTGCCAGAAATCATACGCTCTTGGTTTTTTTTTCACGTAACTGCGAGCCACAGAAAACTCCAGACAAGATAGAAAGATGGATAAGAAAAGAATAATTCGAAACGTCGAACTCTCCCAAACATTCGAACGTTTAGAATGCATCTCGTGGACAGAATCTCGTCTCATATCGGAGTAATCGCGTGAATCGCCACCTAGCAGGTAATTTTGAATACTTCACGGCCACCATCTCCCTGGGCTGCTATCCCTATTTTTCTTTCGTCCCTTCGTAACACCGTGTCCGGAACACATTCGGGACATGTGTTGCCCGAACGTCGACCACCTTTTCGTTTTCCTTCACCCGAGACACCCGACACACCATGAACGGCGATGGTGGTGAAACAACCGAGATTACTAGTCGCTTCTCCTTCTCAGTCACCTCTCTCTCTCTCTCTCTTTCTCTCTCTCTCTTTCTCTCCCTCTCTGCCTTCGCATCTCCCTTTCCCATCCCCTGGCGATGTCTGTCTCCGTCCGTTATTTATAGAAAGCCACGATGACTCGCCTAATCGTAATGACCTCACGGCGCAGACCAGAATACCTATTATTATCCAGTCGAATTAATGAAACTCCCCCGTGTTAATTCGCCGTGTTATATTTGCCGTTTGCAGAAGAGACACACGGTCGTTTTGTCTCTGTCCACTCCTTAATTTCTAACTCCTTCTGACATAATATCGGATCGCTGATACTTTTGCTCGGCTCGTCGTCGTACACGAGTAAATGAGCCTTTACTCGCGATAATTAATCGACGGTGTCGTTAATGAACCGCGTGCGCACCGCGAAATAACTCGTCGTACTAAGATCTCGTTCATCTCCCGTGCGAACGCCGTAATTCTCTCCCGCCCCTCGCGGTGATTCATTGATTTATTTTTGTGTAGTTTAATGCTAAGTGATCGCGAGAATGCGCGATCGCGACGTAACGTATACCTAAAGATTTATCTAGGACATGCTGAAAGAGCAAGGGTCTTTGTCGCATCACACATTCTTCTAAATATAAATCTTTATGGTGCCCCGATCTTAAAGGAGCCAGATCCTTTCGGCTACGGATGATATCTCACGTCCACGTGCCCTGTATGAATTTATCTCACGCGTCATGGAATAAATCCCCTCCGATTACTACGATCATTTCTCTCCGAGAGATTAATACTAGAACTGCCGAGACCCTGCTAGAACCGCTAAAGATGCCAATTTGGCATCTTCTAATCTTGTTTTCGGTGAGTGAAGCGTTATTTCGATATTATTTATACAATATTTAAGATTGTAATCATATATTTTTGATATTTTGCAATTACATAGAAATAAAATTATTGTACATTGCACTGAATTCAACAGTCACATAGTTCTAAATTTATGTAGAAGTTGTAGCAATTTTAAATGTCATGTTAAAATTGAACTATAAAGTCTCGTTGCGTTAATCGGAATTCTAGTGGAAAATGAACACACAGATCAGAATTTTACAGTTAATTCTCTTATAATTCTAGTCGAGATATAACCAGATGTCCAATCATGATAACCGGAGTTCTAATTGAATTCGGATGTAATTACAATCTGCTGGTTCATTCATTTTCCATCAGAAACTTTTCTCCTTGCAAATAATTTTATACAGCGCATTGTACTTAAGGATATTCGATAGGATTTAAAAAAACATAAAAAAATTATAAATTATTCTAAATTACATTTAAAAGTAATATAACAAATTTTTAGTGATGGTTTTCAATCTGAAGTTATTATTATCTCACAAGTTATTTAAAAAAATAAGCAGCATTTTTTTAATCTATGTTGTAATATAGTAAATGTATGGAAATGTATTATATGAAAAAAATGACAAAAATTTTAATTTTTTAATGTAATTACTTTATATATTTAAAATCATTTATTTAAAGTTACATTACGATGCAAAGATTAGTTGTCCAGTAAATAAACAAAATATTTGTCTATTCTAAATCTTTGTAATATTAATTGATAAATAAAACTTACGATAAAACTTCGTAAAAGTTATTTTAAATACTTAAAGTATTTACGCAAAAACATTTAAATTTTTATTAAATCGTTTATTATTATTTAGATTTTTTTTGTTATTTTTCAAATTTTAGTTTATAAATACAATAAAAATAACAACAAATAAGATTAATAAAATTAATAAACTATAAAAATGTGTTGTTTAATAAAAACAAATACAACTTTCATATGTATTACAGTTTGTTTAATAATAAATATTAATATATGCTATATCGAACATATCGAACATCCTTAAGAATCCAGTTGAGCAGGCGATCGGTATATCTTTAATATATACTGATTTAATAAGCATTGCTCGTGGGTTATAATAATGCCGCCCCTTCGTCACAAGATCTGTATCTTAACTCACGTTTGTTTGCCCCCCTCATAAGAAGACAGATCGTTATTCACAGCGGATTATCTGGTTAATTAGTAGATGATGATGCGATGATAGATGCGAGAGTACGATAAGATGTTATCTCTCGTTGTCAAGCTTGGACTCTTGCCTCGGTTTGCTGCCATTGATCGAAAGCACCTTAAATCCTCTACTATCGCTCGCGGGTTCTTCTTTCCAATCGGAAATAAACGCGAGGGAAACGAATTAGCTCGGTCGTACGTATAAATAGTAACGTTAGAGAGAGAGAGAGAGAGAGAGAGAGAGAGAGAGAGAGAGAGAGAGAGAGAGCGAGAGAGAGAGAGATATGACGAATCGCACGCATGCGTCCGCGGAATGCGTATCGTGCACGAGTAACTTGTGTACCGCGAAATTAACCAACAAAGTCACGCCTGGTAAGCTTACAACTGTAATTTATATTTCGAGCTAAAAAAGTTAAAAAAAAAATAATAACGTTCTTCTTATAATAAAATATTTTTAGCCGGTTGAAATTGCGCGAGAAAAAGAAGGACGAAGATGTCGGTACAAATTCGAACGAATTCCGTCCTCGTAGGTATTTTTGATTTATCGCGGGAAGAACGCTTCTTCGAGCACGAAGGCGATATGAGACGAAGCACGAATTATGAGACATGAAGAAGGTGTGAAGTCACGTTGAGGGAGCGAGTGTGGAACGAGCGTGGCTGACGGAATTATTATTCTCGTTTCTCGACCGTCTGTCCGATGTCTCCCTTTTCACGATCCTCTCGGCTTTCTCATGCAAGGTAGCTCGTTATTATAGTTCTGCGTATGGGGACATCATCGGAAACGTTTGTTTGTTCAAAGTTCAGTGAAAACTCATAAGTATATATAAAGTCATATGGAAGTTAGAACTCTGTCAATGTTTAAGCGATACTTGTAGCTAAAACGTTGTAGCTGATGATAGATAAAAATTGTGTTGATAAAAAAAGATGCATCTTAAAATTAGCTATTTTTCAGTAGAACATCTTTTTAATTCTTAATTGTAGTAACGTTTTAATTAGAATTGTGAATATGCAATTTCTGTAACTTCACTTTCTTTTCATGTTATACTTTTAATTATAATGTATTCTTCTAGATTCTTTTATTGCTTCAAAAATGCTAATTTTTTACTTATGTCACTTCTATCAACGCAACGAATTATAAATGTGTGTAGAAAAAGTTCGTAGAAGATATTATTTCATTATTGCACCACTGAGTCTATTTGAGAATAATTTAAAATGCTAAAAAGTATTTAGCACGGTAGATCTATAAAGTCGTCACGTTCGAGAGATCATGAAAAGATGTAGAAACTTATGGAACGAAAGAAATTCTGTTGGGAGAATTTTCTCAGTTGTCATCAGCCAAAAACCATGAATTGTCTCGCAGCTCTTCCCGAGAATGTTAGTCCCGTTATTCGTCGCTTCCTCTGATTTTTATTTTTTTAACGACAGAAGAAGACTCGATAAAATGTGGCATCTATCCGACCTCTATTTGTTCTATATATTTTTATCTGATGTATTCAAATAACTCAATCCCACCATAAATTCTTTTTATAACATATTTATTGCGAGATACATACATCATTAAGAAATAAAATACTGGTTATTTCACATTCTTCTGAAAGATGTGATCCAATCTTATATTTATTTCTTACTCATTTATTTTAATTTTTGCCTTGTGGCTTAGGATGGCTTCCGATATAAAGAATTTACATTCATATTTTTTCATCTTGTCCAATATGTCTAATGTATCATATCTATGTTGTATATCAAAGGTTTTATGAGATTACAATTTGGTGACAGTTATTGATACTAAATCTTTCATACAATTGATATTGATATATATTCACTTGGATTAAAGAAGATAGAAAGACTCAATGAAATTACAAAGATCACTTATTTTTAATTATATATGTATATATATATATATATATATATATGTAATAATTAAAATATTATTAAAGTTAATACTACATTTGGGTTTCACTTTTTAATTTAGTCACATCTACATATATCAAAGAATTAGAATAAAAAAACGGAATTAACTCTACTTAGCATATATGTATTTATACGATATAATTTATCACTGACTAATTAGAGAAAACAATAAAAACTAAATTTCTAAATTTTTAAATAGTAAATTAAAAAATAGTGAATTAAATAGTAAACTCTAAACAGTTACTCTTTCCTCCCTGTGATCTAATC